ATGTTTTGTTATATGATTTTTCAACAAAAAGAATGATATATATACTTCTTTATCTAGATACAATCAAATTATCATGTCAATATCTTCCTGATTCGGATCAAACAGATTATCAAACACAAATACTACAATGTACGAACCTTTCTCAGCCCTCTAGAATTCTTCATAAAACAGTTTGAATCAGATTTGAGTAGGTATATAGCAAGGAATTTCTATCGATTCAACTTGGCAACAATGTGCTACCGCTTGTTCCGAGTCTCCACGCGTCTCACACATTCTGGTATATTGACGGTCTGTCGATGTACGGTTCTGATGTTTTACGGGTTTGTCAATGTACGGTTCTGCCATTTTACGGTTCTGCTATTTCACGGGTCTTAATCCAAAAAATTCTGAAAATTTACGGGTTTGGTAGCTGCACGATTCTGCCATTGTACGAGTCTGTCATTTTACGATTCTGCTGTTTTACGGGTCTGTCGTTTTACGGTTTTGATGAATTATGGATCGGAAATTCCGGTAGTCCGATGGATTATGAGTCTGTCGATGTACGGTTCTTGCATTTTACGGATCTAGAGTATTGGCAGTCTGTGCTTTTACGAGTCTGTCATTGTACGGATCTTTCATTTTACGGGTATCAAAAATCGACAGTCTGTCTTTTTACGGGTATGAACTTTTCGCATTCTGCCAGTTTCAGATTCTGTACATCACAATTCTGCCAGTTTGCTGGTCGGGAATGTTCATTCTGATGAAATGGTGGTCTACAGAGTACGGGTCGCTGAATTACAGTCTGTGCTTTTACGGTTCTATGACTTTACGATTATATATTTTTATGATTCTGACGACATGAAGAGTATTTTATTTACTGGTATGGCAAAGTAAACTTCTGAATATATGGCAGTCTTTCGATATACTATTGTGATTTATGCATTCTGACATAATGCAGTCTGTCAAAGTACGGTTCGACAAATTACGGGTTGTACATATTGCAGTCGCTGAAATATGGTTCTGATGATTTGCTATTCTGATTTCTTACTATTCTAGTCAAATAAATTCCTACTAATCGACGGTCTGTGTCGATACGTTCTGATGATGTATATGGACCCTCGCAGTGTGAGTGTAACTATTTAGTGTGTTCGATTCTCACGATTGCAGAAAACTCCTGATGGCCAAAGGAAGTGGTTGGGATGACAAGATGAATAGTAAGGCCATCGTCATTACCTGCTCGCACAAGTCTTTTGAAGACTTGTAAGGGTTGCTTGTGGGGTGGCAACCGAATGATGGATAAAAACAATTCCAGAACAAAGAACAATCTCAACCAAGGTTTTTACCAATACTGATTTTTCAGAATCATTGAAAATTGATGAGGAACGTTGATAAAATTTGAGAACATACATGGCATTTTTTTACGTATAACACATCAAAATAGCTGTTTCATCACTGTTTCGTTGAATCAACTTCTTTCCCCTATCTGATAATTAACACAAGCACCTCATTTGTGGTATAAATCCACAATGAATGTAATCTCTCAAAAAAAAATCTGAATTTTAAGCAATGACATCTCTGTCTGCTAGAGTCTTACTCAAGAAAAAATCAGATTACTATACAGTGTGTACCATAAGTCATGAATCAAATGAAATAAGGTGGTTGAGGCAGAGGTCATTTGCAATCTTACTAACGGTTCTGTGGGAATCAAATTGTTGATGGCTCGAAAAATGATGAATTTTTCTAGAAAACACGACCCATTTGCAGAAAATAATGACAATAACAGTTTTGAATAACCTCTCACGTTATTCCATTTCGGTACCTATATCAAATTAGCAAATTTTCTTCATGATTGCTCATTTTCGTGTAGTAGTTTCCAAATCTGCCAGCCACAAATAAAAATCAACCGATATATTTCATCCAATGACGAAATTCCAGGAAAACATTTTCCTTAGGAATTTGAAAAGAAGTAACACATATGTCATGAAATCATTTCTGGAGCAAGGTATACATCAATGTGGATGGAATTTCTGAAAGAAAAAATCAGGAATGTGACGTAGTTTCATTGTAATGAATTATTTTCGAAGAAATGAAAATAAAAATTATCAAGTTTTGTGCCATCAAAAATTGGATAACCACATATACGGTAAGGTTGATTGGGAATGACTTCTCCTATAAGTCGAAGAAATAAATAATTTCGCAATCATCTTTCACAGCCGTAAGAAGGTATAGTGTATAACTCGCACAGAATGTTAATATCTCACTCGTATGAAATGACTTTCATTCCGTGCTCGTTGAACAAACTTCAGGCAGTTTATTATATTTATGAGGAATTTGTTGAATCAACGTCACTTTGGATCTACAGATCACAATGAGAAATAATTCAACTAGTAGTCATCAGCATCTCGACAGTGATATTGTCTAATCACTATCAAGAGTAACATAGCAAAAGGACTTGGGAATTGTTTACGACCACCAACTAACTCTCACTTATCACTAAGAATCAGTAATGTCGGAAGCTATGAAACCACTGGGTTTTCTAATTCAAACTTGTAGTGAATTCGATTTCCTGGACGCCTTGTTGTACAATACGTTAGTCACAAGTAAACTGGAAAACTGTAGCCAAATTTGGAATCCATATCACCAACGAACAATTTCAGCAATCGAGATGGTACGAGAAGGTTCCTAAATTACCTATTCTACAAAAAATTCAAACGCCACCCTGGAAGAAATTATAGTTTTGTTTTCCCTCTGAACGAATTCAAGTTCCAATCACTGAAAAAGAAGAGAGATATCGGTGACCTATTATTCACATATAAGATTATTTATGATTCCATAGATCATGCGAAATTTTTTCTACTAATTGATTTCAACATACCACGACTAGCCTTCCGGTTTCATAATAATTTCCACCTGAACACTCCAAATACACAACATGAATTTGATTCACCAATAAACTGAATGTGCAGAAATTGTAATAAACTTGCGATAGTCGATATTCTCTTCCTCACTCATAATCGATTCAGAAGAACCATTTCCAATTCAAAAACTAATGAACGTATCATTCATTACTTTACTATTTTTCATGATTATAATTATCTTCATTATTACTATTATTTATATTATCATTATTGTGACTTCTATTGTTTCCATGATTATAATTATCTTTTCAACCGCATGTTGTGATCTATATCAAGTACTCCTATAATTGGGCTTAGGCCCGCTGGATGTATATTCAATAAATAGATGAATGAAAATGAATGAATAACTCGATAACCTTTCTCTAACTTCCATCGCACCTATGCCAAGCAGAACCCTCATCAGCCTCATAAGCCAAATGGAACGAAAAAACTTCTAATAATTCCAGATACAGTGTTTCTCAGCTGAAATTGGTGAACTCTCTCATCTCCGCAGTCGTAGAAAGAAATTGAACACGGCTTGAACAGCAGGTCGATTTCAAATCAGTAGGAAACACATTTTTTCAACTATAATATCTCGAAGTTGAAACGTTGATTTTATCGTTCATGGCAACATATTGCTCCAAAAAATAACTTTTGAACCAATCTTGTGCAATATGATTCAGTTTTACGAGTAGTATGCTGTGGTTCAAGTCAATGAAAATACCAATATCAATGTTTCTTTAATCTTAGATGTTAACTTGAGGTTGAAATTGAAAAAATGCGATGACCAGGCTTGTCCAGTATGTCTGACGTCTATAGATGATTGTTATTGTCCAGCAAGATACTGCTGATGGTGAGATAGGATATCTCAAAATAATCATATTCTGGCAATACTGATTGAAATCGTATGTTATGAAATAACCTTATATCTCAAATATATCCCATAACTACACCCTACCGCCCATGTTCACAAAAAACATTTATTCTTGTCACAGTATTCATGGAATGGAAAAGACATTTATTCCGGCTGGTTATTCTGTTATACGAACTGTTTTCCATTTTGATGCAGGAAACTTCAGAACAAATTGGTACTAGACATACTTCATCGTTTTTCTTTGCCGTTTCCTTTCTATCGAGATCGTAACTGGGCAAACTCTTGAGACAAGGTTAGTGCCTTCTAATAATCGTTTTGTCTACGAATTGTAGGGAATATATCACGAGGATATAGTTTGAAACAATATTCATTTCACTGATACGTTATGGATTTGATAAACATACAAACCTCGAACCAATACCACGAGAAAATGAATATAATCGGTTCATCCAGATCATCAGAATATTTGAGTATAAGTGGATAAGGTATTTCGAACACACGTTGTTTGTGTTTGGAAGACCATTTATCGGTGAATACTTCACGCATTTTTCTCAAATATTACACTTTGGGATCATGCATATAAAAATAACAATACTAATAATGTAATATGGTTCAACATTTCGCACGTTGAGAACAATAATGTGACAAATCTAAAAAATAGATTTCCGTGTTGAAACCACTGTCGGATAGAATATTCCAAGCTCTACACTTCTAGGGTATCGTGACATCTACAGGTCCGATAGCTGCAGCGTGGCAACGCTGATCACATTATTTCACTAGGGGAAAGGTATAATAGCTGCTGAAGGCAAGAACGAGAGTGACTTTCTGCCTTGTTATACCAAGTCTTCGCAGGATCGCCTTCTATGTTGACTTCGAGGAAATTTTTATAGTGGATATTTCAACACGTCATCAAGTCACCTTATTGTTTATTGTCAATCTAGTATTTCTTGAGATGTCACTTTATTGATTCATCATAAGTGCATGAAATAATGAATCAAACGCAACGAATTTTAGGGTCTAACATACACTAGGAAACGATCGGGGATTTTCAGCGGTCAATTATTCTTCGCGTCTCCGTCCTTCTATGATAGTTATTGGTAGGTACAATTTATTGTGAATCACGCGCAACGGTTTAAAAAGACAAAGGAATTTGGGTACTGACCTCACCTACTGATAACACACACGCCATAATATAGTCAGTTCATTTTGTTGCGCGTTGCGTGCAGGTTGTTCTTCTTCGAGAGTGCAAGATGCCGCAGAATACAAGAAAAAGGAAGGCCTACCAAGAATTTAAGAACTTGAAAAAGAAGTTAGCCAAATTGGAGGAAGTGCTCTATAGTAATTCTTCCTCGGAAACTAGCGATTCTCAATCAGAAAGTTAGTAAAATGAATATATAGGTACTCATTTTTTTTTGCTGTTTTTTAGAATAAGTTGTTTTTTTAATCTATGAAATAAGTAAGAACTGCGCTACTCGAATGCCAGATTGTAGCGGAACGTTAATTCGAGTGCATAAAGGGTGTAGTTGTCTTGACTACAGGCGCCCGCAGATTATTGTCTGCATGTATATCACTGCGAACTGACATACAGGGTGTAGTTGTTTTGACTACATTAGCCCGCAGATTATTGTCTGCTTGTCAGTGATAGCAAATAAGAGGCAAAATAATTCTGATCGTACTAATTATCACAGGATCTAAATTATTTTCGTTCGTTGTCAACAGGTTCACAGAGTTCACACTCTTCATCAGCCGACGAACATGAAGAGGAAGATGTCGTACCAACTCCGGTTGTTGCTACTCAAGACGGAATGGTTACGAAAAAAGTTCCGAGTTTTCTCGGAGAAAACCCAGATTTGTCTACCCAGTTGGGTACAGAGTTACATGAAGAATTAGTAGTCCGATGGTCTAATTATCTTAGAGAGGGTGTTTCCTCAGAAATTAGAAAGGATCTTGTGAAGAAATTCCTCATTCCTTCAAATTGTCTGGCACTACAGCCACCCAAAATGAATGAGGAAATCAGATCAGTGTTGCTACATCAAATTCAGAAAAATGATAAGTTTTTATCTAGCTTGCAAGAACAGATGGGAGCAGGTTTGACAGCAATTGGCCAGATTTTGAATTCTAAAATCATCTAACCGGATTCTCCTGTTACATTAGACAATGAGAGGATACAAAAACTGGCTGACGCTGCACAGTTATTTGCAGCTACTTACCAAGCAATTTCTGTTAAACGAAAATTCGAGGTGCAGCCATTTATTAACGAGGAAAGTAGAAATGCTGCACATAAAAGTCCAATCGATGAATTTCTCTTTGGATCAGGCTTCATGGAAAAACTGAAATTGTGTCAGACAGTACGAAAAGCAGCAGATGAAATAAAAAAACCTAGGAAAATCACATATCCTATTCCGGGCCCTTCGGGGTTACAAACGCAGCATTTAAACTCCAAGCGTCCTCAGTACAAGAAAAGGATGAAGGAGAGAGGCCAGTCACCGTCGAGAGATTACCAAACGTGGAAAACACCGAGCCGGAAACGAGATCAGAGTCACCCCCACTACCGCTACAAGCACAGGAGCTCCAAATCCCGCAAATAGAGGTAAATATGCAGACAGCGGGAAGATTAAAATACTTCACCCATATTTGGAGGAGTTTACCTAATTCTTCAGGTATTTTGCAGTGGACAGAGGGTATTAAAATACCATTTTTGTCAAAACCAAGACAGAAAAAACTGAGAACAAGTCTTGTACCAAAAATTCCCCTCTCAAGAATTCCTTTATACAGGGTGGAAATAAATAGATTATTGGAAAAAGGTGCTATATCTGAATGTAGATATACAAAGAATCAATTTGTATCTTCATACTTTCTAGTTAAAAAACCGGACGATAGTAACCGATTCATTCTTAACTTGAAGAACCTAAATGAGTTCATTCCAGTAGATCACTTCAAATTGGAAGATCACAGAACAGCTAGTAGACTTATTTTCAGAGATTATTTTTTGACAAAATTAGATTTGAAGGACGCTTATTGTCTTCTACCTATTCATGAAAGATATAGAAAATACCTTAGATTTGAATTCCAGAATACACTTTACGAATTCAACGCTCTACCATTTGGCCTCAACATAGCTCCTTACTTATTCACGAAATTACTTAAGCCCGTTGTCAAATACTTGAGAGAATTAGGTGTGAAATTAGTTATATATCTGGATGATATATTGATTATCGGCAAAACTTATTGCGAGTGCAAAAAAATCACAGATGTAACCAGAGAGCTACTACAATCTTTAGGTTTTTTGATAAATTATAGAAAAAGTTCACTGGTACCTGCTAATGAAATTGAATTCTTGGGATTCATTTTCAACTCTCTTTCAATGAATATCAAGTTACCTGGTAGAAAAGTTGATTTAATAAAACAGTGGATCAACAGATTTAAAGGTATGAAGACTTGTAAAATCAGAGACTTCGCATCACTTGTGGGGAAATTAGTCTCAATTGCCCCAGCATTTAAATACGGTTGGCTTCATATCAAACCTTTCGAAATTGTGAAACAAGAAAGATCAAGATACCATGGCATGAATTTTAACGAAAGAATGGAAATTCCTTCTCTTTTAGAGGAGGAATTCACTTGGTGGCTGAAGAACGTGACAAACTCCGGTCGAACATTTATTACAGAACCATACTCATTAGAGATTTATTCAGACTCTTCAAAATCGGGATGGGGTGCCCATACAAAAAATACTGAAACAATGGGGTTTTGGAGGTTGGAAGAAAAAAGGAAACACATAAATTACTTGGAATTATTGGCGACACTTAACGGCCTAGAATCTCTAGCTGAAAATCAAAGAGACTGTAATATATTGCTTCGTATTGATAATATAACTGCGATAGCATGCATCAATAAGATGGGTAGTGTAAAATATAGAAATCTTAATAAAGTTGCTAGAGATATTTGGAACTGGTGTGAATTCAGAAATACTTATGTGTTTGCTTCTTATATAAATACCTCATATAACGTAAGGGCAGATATTTTGTCAAGGTCAAAATTCGAAAACGTAGAATTTGAACTAAGTGTCAGTGCCTTTCAGAAAATTGTAGACCGATATGGGAAACCAGAGATAGATCTTTTTGCATCCAGAAGTAATGCAAAGTGCTCTAGATTCGTCTCTTGGTATCCTAATCCACATTGTCTAGCAGTGGATGCTTTCACAATAGATTGGCAAGGGCAATATTTTTATGCTTTTTCACTGTTTCCACTGATAAGCAGGGTATTACAAAAAATACGGGAAGACGGGGCCACAGGTATTCTTTTAGTACCTTATTGGCCCACTCAACCGTGGTACCCCACATTTCTTGATTTTTTGTTAGAAGAACCATTGATTTTTAATCCGAATGAAAAATTACTGTATTCCCCTTTCAGAAAGCCACATCCACTGCACAAGACCCTTTCCCTGGTGGCAGGGAAATTGTGTGGAAGGCACTGAAGTTGAGAAGAATTCCAGAATCGACTATTCCCGTAATGATCAGAAGTATTTCAGAAAAAACGTTAAAGCAATACACCACTGTTTATAAGAAATGGTGGAACTACTGTGCTGAAAGGAAGTATAATCCATTTGAGTATTCATTAAATAACATTTTAGATTTTTTGCTACAAATTCTGAATAGTGGACTTTTATATGCGTCACTAAATACCTCAAGGTCAGGTTTGGCATTGATATTCAACATAAAATCGGATGATGAAAAAATACTGAATCGTTTTCTGAAGGGGGCATACAATCAAAACCCTTCAACTCCCAGATACTCTACCACATGGGATCCGAGTAAGGTCTTAGATTATCTAGAAAACCTTCATCCTTTAAAATCACTATCATTGAAAGAATTATCTCAGAAACTAACTATTCTATTAGCTCTCACTTCAGCTCATCGAATGCAAACCTTAACGAAAATTGAATTGAAAAATATTACACAATCACAAGAGGGGCTGGAAATAAAAATTTCATCAACCATAAAAACATCGGGACTCAATCGGAGTCAACCTGTGCTGACTTTTCCATATTTCAGAGAAAATCCAGAACTATGTGTAGCATCCATACTGAGTTATTACATCGAGGCTACAAAGGGTTTCAGATTCAATGATACTTTAATTTACACTTATCAAAAACCATATCATCCAGCATCTACTCAAACTCTCAGTAGATGGGTTAAAGAAATACTCACTAAGAGTGGAATTGATACTGGAAGATTTAGTAGTCACTCAGTAAGACATGCCTCAACGTCCAAAGCTTTCCGGTCGGGGTTGAATATAGACTTGATTATGAATACTGCGGGCTGGACAAAAAATTCAAGAGTATTCAATACATTCTACAACAAACCCACTGTTAGTGATAAGGGCGAATTTGCTAGATGTATTCTCACCTCTGTGAGAGAGAATATTTCATAGACTACGGTTATAGTTTTTGTTCGTTTTCATTATTTTCTCCCTAGAGGGTTACATTAAAATAAATATAAATGTATACGTTATATAAATGTTGTACATAAGTATATTTGAAGCTTAAGAAAAATTTATATATATACCAAAAGCAATGTATCTAAATAGATTAACAAATTTATATTTCCACAAAAGAGTTATTGTGTTTATATTTATGATTAATTAGCTCAGTTCAATAAAAATATTAAGCTATTTTACTTTCATTCCATTTCGGCTGTTTTTCAAAACAGCTGCTCTCTATACTACCTAGGTGTGTAGCTAGGGACATATAGCTCGTACCCAATCGCATTCAAATTCTTTGAACATCTACCAATAACTATCATAGAAGGACGGAGACGCGAAGAATAATTATAAGATTAATCGACCTACCTGTAAGGAAGATTAATCTCAATTATTCGAGCGTCGTAGTCCTTCTATGATAGGGCCCTCCCGGGTACATATATTTCGTCAGATCGGATTGTATCAAAACCGTATTTCATCAAATCGAATTTTATCATAATGGCATTCTGTAGAAACTGTACTTCATAGAACCAATAATTCATCAAAATATAAAGGATCATAATGTATCTCATCATACAGTTAAACGAAGAAATGTACTTCATAGAGAAGTAAAACATCATACCTTATTTTTTAGAATTGGTAATCCATCATAACCGTATTCCATCGAAACAGTAAATCATCAAAATCGTATTATATCGAGACAATATCATATAGAACCTGTTGAGCATCGAAACGGCAATTCTTCAGATCCGCATTTCATCAAAACATCAATCTATCAGAGTGAACACTCATCGAATTTGTAATTAAGCGAAACCGTAATTTGTAGAAACCGTAATTCGCCAGAACCGTATTTCATCAAATCAATAATCCATCATAACCGTATTTCGTAGAATCGGTAATTCATCAGATTCTTATTTCATAGAAACAGTAATTCATCAAACCCGTATTTTATCAAAACGTCAATTCATCATATCCGTATTTCATAGAATCAGTAATTTGTCAGCCCCGTATTTTATAGAAACGGTAATTCATCAGATCCGTATTTCATAGAATCAGTAATTCATCGAACCCGTATTTTATAGAAACGATAATTCATCAAATCCGTATTACATAGAATCTGTTATTTGTCAAATCCGTATTTTATAGAAGCGGTAATTCATCAAATCCGTATTTCATAGAATCAGTAATTTGTCAAACCCGTATTTCATCAACATTAATTCTCCATATTGAATAACTGGTAATTCAGCAGATCTGTATTTCATAGAAACCGTAACTTGTCGACACCGTATTTTATCGGACGGTAAATCATCGGATCGGTAAATCATCGGATCAGGTTGAAATCGAAATGTTACAGGAAACTGCATTGCAGTGACTCGCCAAAGTAAATTTAGATAGTTGAGTAGGACATGCACAGATGTCGCAGCTTGATAGTGAAGTATAGTAAAATACTGTCGAGAATTATTGATTTTACAGAAACAGCAAGAGATGCATTCGTTCATAACTATAATTCAAATACTCGATGGTAGGGTAGGTACCTAAACGAACAATCAAATCTTGCCGATATTTCGTGAAGTTGATGAATACAGCAATTTCCAAACGTTCGAGAATAATTGAATGTTGCAATTATGTTATGTTATAGAACTGACATGGGTATTCCGACATCGTTTTCGATATAG